GATGCGTCAATTGCGGCCATGACCGGCTTACTTCGATTCCGCTTCCAGTCGCTCTGCTGCATCTTTGATACAAAACTGTGGCTTTTCTACTACGATGACGCTGGCCCGGTCCATATCAAGCCACTTATCAGCCCAGAAGAGACTATGCTAACGATGGCGGGCGCTGTTGTCGTCGCGAGCTCGCGCTTTGCCAAGCTCAAGGTCTGGAGCGGTCTACTCTACCTGGCTGCAAGTGTTGTCGGCAGCCTCTCGTACCTAGAGCTCTCTGGTGTGAATTTAGCGAATGATCTCTATTGGTCAACGTACAATACCTCTGGCACCCAGAGCTTCCTCGCCAATTGGTTCAACCGACTCCTCATGGTCAACGCGACGCAGCCAAGCATGCCCTTGGACGTCCCTGCGTTTGCCGACTTGCTCGATTACTCGACGCCTGACACTTTGATCTCATACGCCCGCGTCTACGCGCGACTTGTACAGTACGAGGCGGGCAGCGACCTTGGCATGATGGTCCAAGGGCTTCGCTCCATGGACGCGTGCCAAGCGCCGTGGATCGCAACAAGCTACTGCTGGCTCGACTTTGACCGACAGATTGAGATGGCCAACACCATCGCCCGTCAAGATCGGTGCATGACCAACTATCGTAGCAACAGCGCCGTCTACTTGGAGTCGATTCTCAGGAATGTCGACTGGCCCACTTTTGAGTCGTGCTGGGGCACGTCGTTTGAGGTTGGGATTGCCAAAGACGTACCCTCGCTCAAGGTTCGCGGTGCTGATTGGCTCACCTCACTCACGAATGGCAACCGTCTCTCGGTGGCCGACGAAGTCGTTTTCTGGCAATCAATGGGTCTCTTGACCTATACGACCCAGTGGCAAAACTACAAGGCGCTCGGCCTCCGCGACGTTTTCTCAATTGAGAATGCGTTGGGAATGATGTACGATATGACGCTTCAGTCCACGAACGGCTCGTATCAGTCGTCCATGTCGACGTCGTGGAAGACGTACTGGACGTTTGCGAGCGATCTCTGGGCGATTGCAACAAATGGTTCTGGCATTGCCGGCAAGTCGCTCTTGCGACAGAGTCCCCAGTTTGCATTTGCCAATGTGTCACTCGAAACAATGTTGACCCGAAATACTACCTTGCTAGCGCCCCTGGACGGCGCTCTAAGTGCTTTTCGCGATAGTTTGGGGCCGTTTGGTGCTGTTGACCTCTACCACGTGGCATTCCCGGCGTCGCTCGTCCGGCTTCAGCACGACGCCATGCGTGAGCTCACAACTCTTTTGGCTCTATCCAGCATCAACTCAACATCGATGCAAAACGACTACGCCAACCTCGTGCTCATGTACTCGATGAGTCCCGTGCCGCGTTATCTGGACCGAAACACGTACCTCTGCGCCGGCGGCAGTCTTTTTTGCGGCGAAATACCGTCCAACTTTAACGTTTCACTCGGTTTGTCACAGTTTACGGGCGTCGATACCATGTGCTACACGAGCTTCAACGACTGGATCTTTGTGAACCCGATGCAAGCCATCTTTAGTGTCATTGCCTCGGGTATCGCACTCGACCCGACACACTTGATTCCTCTCGCCTGTGCGGCCGAGGTCATTGTGCCAACACAGTGCTTGGCCTTTCTGACCAGCGTGTCGAGCTTTGTCTCAACTCACTTTACCAAGAGTTCCCTGCAAGCGTATCGATCGCAAGCGATATTTGTCGGGGCCGATGTGATGGCGACCTCGGTGGGCATCATGCAGTACGTCCGGCACCTACCCACCAACCACATCATGCTCTTCCACCAAGTGCTTTTCGACCCGTCAGATGCGACGATGATGTACACGAGCTATGCACTCGCGTATGACTGGGCCGTTGGCACGCGGGAAGCTATCGTGGCGCATGGGGATGCGAACTCGGTGGCCGTGATTTCAGGAATCTCGCCAATGTCTCGCTTTGCCGCCAGCAGTATGGAGATGCCTCTCAACGTCGCGACGTACCTCTGAGGGCTCTGCCAGTACGTCTCGTTCGTTTTGGCCGCGATCGCCTTGGTCGCGGGTCTCTACACGTTAGCGAATGGCTGCACGAGCGAAGGGCTTAACCTCTTTGAAGTCAACCGCGTCGGTGGCATGACCTGGATAGGACGCCCACTCCTCTTGGTTCGAAGCGTCACGGCGCTCTGTATTCTCAGCACTGCCACTCTTCAGCTTCACACGAATGGGATCATGACGCAACTGATTGCATCGCGAGAGGATGTCACGTCACTGACTGCGTACATCACCAAGAGCCTCGCAGCGAGCGAACTCGGCTGGCTCGTCTACATCTTTGACGACATATGCATGGCCTGGACGCGCCAATACAGTGCCAGCTACACGACCAAGTCGGCGTTGATGGCGTGGTTCATCGCGGTTGTCTTGAGCTTTACGAGCCCCGTTTCCCACAGCGCAACGATCCAGCGGTCGTGCGAGAATGTGCAAATGGACTTTGAGATGGTGTGCCACAGCGGCGTCGTCGCCATTGGGTCAGTCGACCGACTGAGACTCCTTGTGAGTATCGCGGTCGGTGGATCCTTCCTCATGTATGTTCTGGATCGTACGTGGCGTGTGCTGCCACCACCTACCGAGCACAACTCTTTCTTGATGTCGTCAAGTACCTCTATGAACGAAAAGGCTGGGTCTGCGACGGAGTCTACTATCGTCGAACGGTCTTCTCGTCTGCTCGTTTCAAGGCGACTTCTACGTCTTTGACATCAAGACGTGGAGAACGCTCGTCATCCGGCGCAGCGACATCCAAGCGGCAACGGCGCTGCATCCCTCAGCGCATCACCTGGCCCGCGCTCTCCCGCTTATCAGTTTAAGTTAGATGCACTGTATTATTTTTTATCTTAGCCTTTGTGACCCAGCGCCCCGCGCTCGACTGCATTGCAGGTGGTAGACATTTTGAGAGTACGGAAAGCGAGATCGCGTCGACGTCTGAGGCGTACTAGTTCTAGTATAGCGGTAGCGAGACGCGACCCAGGATTCCGACTAAGACCGTATGCCATCTTGGATGCACTACGCCAAGGGTCAAATTTTTTATTGTCCCTTGACTACACTAGAACGCTGACGCCACTTGCCGACATCAAACATCACGCTTGAAATGAAATCGCCCAAACTTGGTGCATTGATAAAATGTCCAAAATGTCCAACAGTTCCTCATGATGCCGCAAATAGTGTAATTCGGCATAGCTTTGGACACGAGTTTCGAGCGCTGTAGGCCGCGCACGACGGTGCAACTTGGTGCTCTGTGCTATTCAAAGCAAGCTTAATCACTCTACCACGTATGA